TTGCTTTCTTGCTTCTCCTTTCTCTCTCTCTCTCTCTCTCTCTGTCTCTGTCTGGTCAAATTAAAATAAATCAATGAATAAATAAAATTAAATAAATAATTCTTTAAAAAATAAATGAATAAATAAAGTTAAATAAAATACTTCTTTTTAAAAAGTTGCATATGGATAGGAACCAAGATATAATGTCTAGGGTAAGGCCAGCTCTGCAACCTAGTGGTAAAGGGAGCCAGATACCATATGGCCCACCGCTGTTTGAATCCCGGCCCTAGTGGGTGAACATCACACTTTGCGCATGTGTGTGCCTTTCCAAAATCCTGACAGAATGGAGAAGTGACTGCAGCATAACCATGCCCCATTGGGAGTGTGTTCTCCCTCCCTTTCTCTTGGCTTCTGTCTCTCCCTGGTGAGCATACATACTCTGTGGCAATTACAAAACAATTTAGGCTGATAATCAATTTCCTGTTGGGACATGTTAGTATGTAGGGCTTGGTGAGGATCCATAGAAATTGGTACTGATTTGGGGAATACCAGTGGACCCTGAGAGACTGAAATGAACTGGATCCTAAAAGATGCCTTAAAGGGCCAGCCATGGCCTGGTGTTTAAAAAGCTGAGTCTTCCATGGCTGACTGTGCAGTTTGAGTCCTGAACCCAGACGTTTGAAAAATCACACTGGGTATGTGTGTGAGTGTGTGCACCTGAATTCCTGAGAGGAGGGAGAGATGGAGGAAAGGGATTACAGAGTGACTTTCTCATTGAAGGTCTTTTTCTCTCTCTCCAGCTCTTTCTCTCTCTGGCGTGTGCCCATGCCCTCTAGCAAAATTTGAAAAAAAAAAAAAAAAAGTCTTAAAAGTCCTGAAAAGTGGGACCAGCAGTTGGTGTAATGGCTATGTCGCTGGACTCCCATGTAGTCGACCACAATTCCAGTCCCGGACCCAGTGGCTTGAGCTTACGCCCGGCGCGCGCGCGTGTGCATGTGGGTGGGTGCCCAAGATCCTGAGAGGAGAATGGAGGAGAAGGGACTGCAGCGTGGCCATCCCCCCAGGGGGGTGATTTCTCATTTTCTGTCTCTGTCTTTCTGGCGAGCTCATGCGCCCTGTAGCAAAAACCTCTCCAGAAAAAAAAAAAAAAAAATCCTGAACAGTGGGCTTGCTAGATGGCACAGCAGTAATAGATGCTCAAGAAAAGCCATTTCCCAGGGCCACCAGGTGGTGTGGTGGTTGAGAGTGTTGTACTCCCACATGGCTGGCCGTGGTTCCAGTCCCAGACCTAGTGGCTTGCTTTCTCACTTTCTCTCTTTGACCTTCTCTGGTAAAATTCAATAAAATAAAGTTAAATAAAATAATTATTTTTTTAAATAAAAAAAGTCAGTTCCCATGAGGCCACCACAGTTTGAACCCCCAGCTTGGTCAGCCTGAAACACATTAAACACATGCTTGACCACCCAGGACCCAACGGGTTGGAGGACTGAAGGAGGGGGATCACAGTGAAGCCAGACCCTGCGGGGGGTGTTTTACCTCTTTCTCTCATGTACACACTGTATGATGAATAAACAAAAATATAATTCAAAAATTCTTAACAGCTATAGACTGCTTGGGAAAACAGTTTTCAAGAGGAAAGATAATACATATCAGTTTTATTAGAGTTTGCTGACGATGTTGCTTTGATTTACACAGATTGGGTGGGGGCTGGTTGCATGAAAAGTACTTCTGAAAAACCTTATCTAACAAAAAAATAAATAAAAGGAGGAGGTTAGGGAGGAAAGTACACAGTATCCTAAATTCTCAGAACCCCTGGTAGGAACCTCCTCTCCAGTCCACCACCACTCCCAAGCCCAGGCTTCTAGCATGCTTCCGGACATTCAGGGCTGCAGGATAGATAACAACTGAGGAATGTGTATTCTGAAATACTTAGGCTAGAAGGGTAAGGAAAGATAGCTTCCATCTGCCTCCTGAGGCTCTAGGGTTTCGAAAGGATGCCCTAAGGGTATTTAGGAACTCCCATTACTTTCCAGCAATTGATGGGAAAACTAATTGACAGCAGAATTACCTGGAAGTGTTAGCTTAATTTAAATAAAGGGATTTTACTTCACTTGGTATTGGAGGAACAAAACTCTTCTTAGCGTACTAGATTCATCTATATGTAACACACTACTTAAAAACAAACAAACAAACCCCCCCCCCAAAAATAAAAACTAACAAAAAACCCTGAGAGTGAAAGAGGCATCATTAATGAAAGATAACTTGCATGGGGGGGGGTTCTACAGGGTAAATAAATAGATTGAAAGACATCCTAGTTTCAGAAACAGTAAAGTATTTTTTAAAAAGCACATTTTGGACATAATGAAATCTTACATATGAAATTGTAATCTTGTCATAAGGAATGTACAATGATCACAGCGGCTTATGACATCATTGTACATTTGTACCTGCCACACAGAGCACAGAAACAGTTCAGTTCCCATCTGAATTAAGAACAAAAGCCAGGGGCCTGGACAGTGGTGTGGAGGTAAGACGCTTTGTCAGCCAGACTCACACGTGAAGGTTGCAAGTTCAACTCCCTAATTATGCCTGGCAGGAGTGTGCCCACCACAGGAGGCTGGCTAAGCTGGAGGTTGATTTCAGCTAGAGACCCTGTCCCCATGTTATATCTCTCATCCCCTCTCTGTGGGTGTTTCTCACTCATGGAGTAAATAACCTTAGGGGGGAAAAAAAAAAAAAAGAACAGGAGCCTCTCTCTGGGCAGGTCCATGCCACGTAGCAATGTGTAGATCAAAATATATGTCTTTTAAAGTGCAAAGATCAAAATTCAGTGTTTTTAGATATCCAGGAATAATATAGAAAAGTTCAAATGTTCTAAGTTCTGCATTTTTAAAGCCCATTTTATAGTTAAATTTCTTTTGAATTTGTTTTAAGGTGATACATCCTGATGTGATTTGCCAAGCAGAAATAAATACAAATACAGCAAGCAAGGATTTTTAAATGACATAACTGTTAAAGGATCTATTGGAAAAGATGCGTGAACTTGGGAATTTCAGTGCCTTACAGTTTTTAAACTTAGTTTTATAGTTTAAATCGGAAAAGGGAAGCTTATTTCCTTATTTCCAAAAGAGTAAGGTGATTCTCCTTTTTTTCCCACGAAGTACTCTACTTCAGCAAAACAGTACACCGTGTGCTATTTTGGCCTCGTGGGAAACATGGCATGTTCAAGTTTGCTAGAAAGAGATAAGGATCGCTTCTAGCCACACATCTCACGGAAAGTTCATAGGGATATTGGTCTAGAGAGAAAATGGCGGCGGGGGGTGGAGGTGGGGGAGTGTTGGGGGAGTGGGGGGTGGAAGCAAATACCTCAGTTTAGGATCAGAAATGGGCAATGGATGCCCTAATTTAAGGTTAATCTTAGAACCACTGGCCTCTGTATTTCTGTCATCCACGCTTTTCTCACAAAGAGGTTTCATAATAATAAATGAGCAAAACAGTCCTATAGTGTAGTTTTACATCCTTACATCACGAAAAGGTGATATTTTAAAAGCATTAGCTAGAATTCTATATCTGATTTGTTAAAAACGAAAAATAGAAATCATTGCCCTCTGACGGTTCGTTCTTGCTTATTTTGACGCAATTAGAAACAGAGCAGCTTTTTAGATCCGGCATTTTTCAGTATGGTGCAGACATGCCATTTTCTATGAATTTTCCCACCTCTGGGAAATTTTTTCTCGAAACGTGTGATTGTTGTGCAATAAGCCAAGTGGAACCGTGACGCAATAATTCGCTGCAAGTTGGCTTACAGAAATGATGTCATTTGGCGCAGATCTAGTCACTTTTATAACAGGTAGCTATGGCAAAGCTCCCTCCACGTTGTCCCCGATCCCCCCACCCCCACCGTGTGCAAGATAAAAAAGACATTTTCCGGGTTTCCTAACCCTCAACTTGACGAGGGTGGGCGCACCGCAGTGGCTCCCGGCCCAGCGCTCGTGCAGGCGGAGAGGAACCGCTGCGAGAGGGCAAGCACAGCCAGGCGTCCCCA